CCAGACACTTCTGGAACATTCCAGGACTCCCGAGCCCCCCAAGGGTGCTCTCGGTGACACCTCAGTCCTGAGGTGCTGAGATCCCACACATTCCAAGTCCTGCTTTCCAAGTAAGCTTGGAGGCTTTTCCTGTTCTCAGAAGATCACACAGCACTCAAGGTTCACCCCAACTCCTTCTTCAGGTGCTCCAAATACCCCACATCTGATTTTTACCCTCAATGTTTCTCTTTTTCCGAGGAGATGGGAGCGAGCAGAGCGAGTCCGGGAGCGGATTGTCCAGCAGAGGGCAGCCTCAAACAGAGCACGATGTGTGAGTGCATTCGGTTTGGGGTTTGTTGTGGCTGCAGGGCTCTGATTGCTTCTCATTTTCATCCATAACTGCGATATTTATTCACTAAATATTATGTTTGAAGTTGTAGCTCTTTATTTTCGTTATTGGAATAATCGCGATTTGTTTCCTGGGGTTTTTGCCTCTGCTGGATGTTTTCCCACATCCTTAGGCTGAAATTCCTTCAGTGTGGGATAATGTCTTCCAAGTGATGGAGCTGGACAGATTGCTGGGATGACATTTAAACAGTGGAAAATTAAATATTGACATTATACCGCTGTAAAACTGTAAATTGATTAATTGGGGTTTTTTTGTGATTCAGTGAATCCCTTGGTCAACACATCCAGCCTCATCTCTCAGTGCCAGGAACCCGGAATTACAGAACAATTGGGGTAATTAGAGGCCTCATTGATATGGAAATGTTTGCATTCAATAATTCAGAATGTTTTTAAAAGCTTTGCAGGAGACCAGCAGTGACATTCAAACAAAAACGTGTCCAAACCAACACCCACACTTAATATTCATGTGAACTTCCACACCCTTAATTTTGCAGATGGAAAATACATTGTCCAGTACATTGATATAAATCCTCACAGCTGCACTGATCCATCCCCATTCCAACGAGAAAAACCTCTGGGAAACTTTGCAAACTTGGATTTTCAGTGAGTGGGGACGTGGATAATTGGAATTGTTTCACCTTTTTTACACAGGTTCCTGCAACTGCACTCCCAAGTGAGAAATTCCTTGCCCAGAATTCTGAAACTAAGAGCAAATCTGACAAGCCTGAAGGTCTGGTTTACACTGATTTGTCTTTTAAACTACTTCTAATACAGGATTTGAAAGCAAAATTAGGATTTTATGTGCAACATCTGACTTTGAAGGGATAGGAAAACAAATAAAAGACTTGAAACCAGGCAAGTTGGACTTGGAAATCCAGAAAATGCAAACGAACTCAAAAACTGATTGGATTTTTTTAAACTAGAAGAGTTGCTTTTCTATGTCCTCAGTTTTTAATTTGTGCAGAAATAGAACCAATATGAAGTAGTTCTCAATTATTATTTATAACTCAAAATATGAATTAACTGCATAGATTTTTATGTCTTTGGGATTAAAGATCCAGTGGTTATACCATTTAATTGAGCACTAAAGTATCATTATTTAATAGTCCAATACATGTTCAAATGCAAATCACTGCTCTCTTTTTTTCCCATTTTGTTTCCTGACTAAATTTAACACAAGGTTCATTGCTGTGCATCAATAGCTGAGAAATAATTCAGTGTAGTCAGAGGACTCTGTTGATTTATTTCATGTGAGCAAGGTTTTATTTAAAAAATAAAAACCAAACAACGACACCAATTGAAAATATTTTAATTGCAATGTTTATTTAGAAAACGAGGAATTTCGAGCTTATGAACAATTTCCAAATTGGTTTTGGTAGGTTGTAGATAGGGAGTAGATACTGGGAATGGGATTTAGCAATTATTTGAATTGTTGTTTTCCAGGCTTTGGAGGGCAGTAGAGAGCTGGAAAACATCCTCGGAGTCTCCCACTCCTGCTGTGACCTGAGTGCTGAACTGCAGAAAAACCAAACGCTGGGTGAGGAGAGTTCAGAACATTTCTTTATCCCCTTGCAGCATTTCCAGGGATCGCTCCAGATGTTCCCTCTGGGGCTGCCCAGCACTCAGGAAAATGCACTTCAGTGTCCCCTGCACCCAGCAGGGACATGAAAGCAAGCCAGGCACGCTGGGGAGGGCAAGGCTGGAAAAGCAACACCTTTTCTGATGGAAATGCTCAGTAAATAGTGAGATACTTAGTGGGTGCTTAGGTGGGGATTAGGCTGAACGTTTGCACTTGGATTGCTTGGCCTTTCTTCTCCCCTTTCCGAGGAAGTTGGTTTGTTTGTTTGTTTGCCTGGCAGCAGGATTAGGCTGAATATAAATTTCCAGGCTTTAAAAATCTCTTAAAAATTCATGTGTGCTGGGAATGATGGACATTCCAGATGCTTGTTGTGTTGGGATCAGGGCACTCCACAGCTGCCACTTCTGAAATGCTTTTCCAAAGGAGCCCAGAAAGCAAACCTGGAGTGCCTGGATGCTGATTTTGCAGCTGGGAGCAGGTGGGCAGTAAAACCACAGGTGCCAGAGAAAATTTCATCCCAAGCAGTGCAATGGATGCATCCCATGCTGGTGTTTCCATCACCATTTTTTCTCTAACTTATATTCCAAACTCATTCCATTTTCCTCCTGCATGTGCATGCCCTGCTGTAGTGCCAGATCCTTTCTGAGCCACCTGGGCACAGTCTGGGTTCCATCGGGGTGGGACAGACAGACAGACAGACAGACAGACAGACAGACAGACAGCCAGCCCACAGCACAGCTCAGACCTCTCATTGCCACTCCTGTGTCCACTCTTTCCCTCAGCTCCTTGGGAAGGAAGCATCCTTCCCCCATCTCTGAATTGGGAACCATGGCAGCACTATGAAGAAAAAAAAATTGGAACAAAATGTGGGCTAAGGCTCTGAAGCAAAGCTTGTCAGAATTCTCTGAATTTTGAAATTTTTTGTTAATTTTTTTTGAGCACAGTTACATAGGCAAGAGGGGTTTTTTTTCCTTGAAATGCTTTGTAAGTGAAGGAGGCAGCAGAGGTGTTATTTTCTTTGAAAGCTCTGGGGCAACATTTGTTGATTTTGGATTTATTTCTTCACTAGTGAGTCAAGCAGAAAAACTGCAGCTGTTGAAAGCAAACCATGGAAAAGTCCCTGCCCGAGGTAAGAAACTCTTCATAACTCTGTGTAACAGATGTTTTGATTCCTTTGCCTTGATTTCTTTGCAGTCCTTTTCACTTGCAATGAGTTGGGGAACCTTTAGGATATGAAAACGATGACAGTCAAATGTGTTTCTTCTGAATGGTCTGCAAATGTAAATGGAATATTTGCTGCTATTTTCATTGTGTTGGGTATTTCCCCATGAGACTGTGCAGGAGAAGGAATCATTCATGGCCTTGCACTTGTGGCATGGTCCAGAAGATTTCCCATATCAATTTTCCTTGTTCTTCCTCATCCTCCTCCCTCCCACTGTGCTTTCAGGGTCACAATCTTGCAGCAAAACCTTTTTCACTTTGTGTATTTTGTGGGGTGTTTCACCCACTCCAGGGGCTGTGAAATCCCAGCTCTGGGGTTTGTTCACAGCCAGGGCTGTGGAAATGTTGGAAGCTGGTGGTGTTTCATCCCCAGCTGCTTTGGTGCCCTGGCAGGAGGGAAGGGGACACACAGAGGACACTTCAATTCCCTCACACTCAGGAAAACCAACAACCATCCCAGGGATATTCTGATATTTCTGTTACCTTCCCATTTTCCATCTGAAAGCAGAGCAAACCCAGAACAGGAGCAGTGGTGGCTTCTCTGAGGTGGGGAATTCTCTTAGAGCACAGCAAATTGATCAAGCCTGGATTTTCTGGGCTGCAGCAGATTGGCTGCAGATGGGAAGCAGAGGGAGTGGGGCTGATGTGAGCAGGGTGCAGGTGCTGATTTACAGCTCCCTGTGCCCTCCTGCTGCAGCCAGGGCTGGCAGCACTCTCTGCTGCCTTTGTGCTCCTTCCAGAAAGCAGCCCCGAGCCCCAAAAGCTGCTTAGGTGAGACATTTTGTGAAGGTAGGGTGGAAAAGACAATTCTGAGTTTAAGCTGAGCGATTTTGATGAAGTTCCAATGTCAGTTTTGCTTTCACATAGAATAAATTCCATTTTGCAGTCTTGAAAACGCAGTAGCGGGAGAGGCAGAGAAGTTTGTGATCAAAGAGAAGCTTCTGTAGATGTTTTTCTTTGCCTTTTAGTTTCAGATGTGGGTTTTTCATAATTATTTTTAATTAGTTATGGCAAGGCTTAAAACTTATGACTGTTCTGTGGCTTGGTCCAGATGGAATGTCACATTATCATCACATGGTGAGGCATGAAATTTATTTACTTTACATAAACGACCTCCTCTAAAAACAACTTCATAGAGAACATTCCTGCCTCAATGGGCAGCCTTGTGCAGAGCTCACTTTATCATTTTGGGTGACCAGCATGGAAAAAGGACAGCATTGTTTGCCCATGACTCGAATTTACAGTAAACAAAATGTTTTTGAATAAAAAGTAAGCAAATTGTGAAACAGCTGCCAAGAGATGAATCGAGTCGGTGTCTGGGAGTCCAGAATGTGCTGAGAGTGGATGTGCAGGTTGGCATGGGCACATTTTGAAGGAAAATTTCTGAGGTTTGGAGGTTCCAGGAGTGAAGGTCCAGCTGGCTGTGACAAAGGACAGGAACAACCCTGACACAAACCATGGCTGCTGCCCACGAGATCAAATACTGGCAGTGCTGAGGAAAACTCGGCTGTGGTGAAATAAAAACACTTCCTTTGCTGTGGGGCTGCTCATCCTGCTGAGCCCAGGGGCAAATCTGATCCTCCCTGAGCTCTGAGCATTCCCAGCTTTCATGCTGGGTGAATAAAGGGGCTGAGGTTTGTGCTGCTGGGACAGCAGGGGTGGCTTTCCAGGACACTGAGCAGGGTTAACTGTGTGGAGTTTATTCCACTGATGGAAGCAAAGCTGAGAAATCAGGCACCAAAACTCCTGAGTTTCCACCTGCCAGTCCAGTTTTGAAAACTGCATTTATTTTAAGACATAAATCCCATTTCACAACCACTGCAAAATAGAAACACATCCTTAATAATCAGAGCTCCTCCTATATTGAAGTTGGAGGGAGACGACCCACCTTGCATTGGTCAGCATCGACTCCCATTTATTAATCAATCAATCAATCAATCACCTTTTATAACAGTGTTAATCAAGTTCATGCATATTGTAAAATATGAGGTCACAATAAGTCAGAGATAACATACCAACCCCACCTTATGTTTCCAATACCAAGACTCCTTGAACCAGGTAAAAAGGTAAAAATACAAAATTCCACCGTTTATCCCATTTGGTGTCAGTTTGAGTGCAGAATTTGGGTGTCCTAAGACTAACCCACTTGGCTCTGTGGTTGCTGGGGGTTTATTTCCACATCATTCTCAAATCAAGTGTAAGAGATTGGTTGACCTTTAGATGTACTTGGGTCTGTCCCACCTTTCCTTCCTCCTCCTCCTCAGAGGTCTTCTGAGGAAAAGGAGCTGGGGGAGCTCCCAGTGCTCCTTCCCAGCAGGATCTGGGGCTCTGGGGCTGAATTTTCCAAACTGGGGCAGTCTGGGCTGTGGGCCCAGAGCAGGAGGAGTTTGGGGATGGGAGGAAGGAGGGAGAGGGGGCAGCTCCAGGCCCTGCAGTGATGGAGCACCCTGGGCTATGCAGATGAAATATTAAGCCATTAACTGCAGTGGCAGATCCAGAAATGCACATCAGACATATGACTGGAGGCCCCAGACAAGTACACAGAGAACTGTCAACCTGCATTTTAGATTTAGGTGTCAGCCCCATTTATTCCCAGATTTCACCCTTGTTTTTACACTCTATTTTCCTACGTGCCTTTTTAGAGATGCAACAGCTATGAATTTTTAATTCTGGTGGATCTAGTTTAGAGTATTAAGCTTAATGAAAAATTCAAAAGAATTGTAGTTCTTCCAACATGTAGCAACTCCTACATGAGAATAAATACTGCTTTCTCCCATGAATATAATTATTTTAAATAAAAAAGAAAAGAAACATTAGTTTGGACTCACTTAGTAGCAATTATATGTTTAAGAGGTGTAAATAACTTGCTATCCAGACATTACAAATATCCAGGTGCTCTGTATGTGCTGATGACAACAAAATTGAAAAGAAAGACTGTAATAATTCTGACTGGTTTTCTCTGCAGAAGATATTGATTATTTGTGTGTGGTGAGAGATTTGGAAAATTCAATTAAAGGAGTTGTGCAAAGGTTTCATAAATTTCCCCGGTACAGCGTGTACACAGACATTGCTGCGTATTAAATCAATGCAGCACTTCACAATATATTTTCTTTGAAACATAAAAATAAATAACATTTAAACAGTTCTGCTTACTACAGAAACAAATTTTATTTTCTGTGAAGCATTTAGTCATGTGCTATCACTGACTCATACACATTTGCCAGCTGTAACAAATTTTATAGACATTTTCTCCAGAGACATAGCTCATATACTATGAATTTTTAAATGAGCAAATGGTGAAGAAGGGATGTCAGCAATATAAAAATTGATCAGTTAAAAGATAAAAGCATAAGTAAAGAGATTTGTATGGTAGTCTTAATAGGTTTTATTAAATAAAAATACTATAAAAAGACAGTAATGAATAGACTGAAGGTTTTAACTGTGGTTGAGGTGGAGAAAAATTATTCTGGCACATTTAGTAGAAGATTGGTTTTATATCACCCGACAGGTGAACATTTTTTTTCTCTCTGCTTTTTAGATCTGTAAATGTTTTAGAGCAGTCCAAGTTGGGAGAGGATGGTGGGGGAACTTGGAGGGGAAAGGGAACTTGGGCAGACGGAGCCCTTTCAGTGCCTGTGTGCTCCAAGGGCAGCGCCAGGCTGGGCTGGGAGCCAGGGCAGGGCTGGAGTCACTGCCTGGATGTGGGAGATGCACGGGGCCACAGCTGGGAGGGCTGATCCAGGAGTGGCTGTGGGTGACTCTGGAATGGCTGTGGGTGATCCAGGAGTGGCTGTGGGTGATCCAGGGATGGCTGTGGGTGATCCAGGAGTGGCTGTGAGTGATCCAAGGATGGGTCTGGGTGATCCAGGAGTGGCTGTGGGTGATCCAGGAGTGGCTGTGGGTGATCCAGGAGTGGCTGTGGGTGACTCTGGGATGGCTGTGGGTGACTCTGGGATGGCTCTGGATGATCCAGGGATGGCTGTGGGTGATCCAGGGGTGGCTGTGGGTGATCCAGGGATGGCTCTGGGTGATCCAGGGATGGCTGTGAGTGATCCAGGGGTGGCTGTGGGTGATCCAGGGGTGGCTCTGGGTGATCCAGGAGTGGCTGTGGGTGATCCAGGGATGGCTGTGGGTGATCCAAGAGTGGCTGTGGGTGATCCAGGAGTGGCTGTGGGTGATCCAGGAATGGCTGTGGGTGATCCAGGAGTGGCTGTGGGTGATCCAGGGATGGCTGTGGGTGACTCTGGGATGGCTGTGAGTGATCCAGGGATGGCTGTGAGTGATCCAGGAGTGGCTGTGGGTGATGCAGGGATGGCTGTGGGTGATCCAGGAATGGCTGTGGGTGATCCAAGGATGGGTCTGGGTGATCCAGGAGTGGCTCTGGGTGATCCAGGAGTGGCTCTGGGTGATCCAGGAGTGGCTGTGGGTGATCCAGGAGTGGCTCTGGGTGATCCAGGAGTGGCTGTGGGTGACTCTGGGATGGCTGTGGGTGATCCAGGGATGGCTGTGAGTGATCCAGGGATGGCTCTGGGTGATCCAGGAGTGGCTGTGAGTGATCCAAGGATGGGTCTGGGTGATCCAGGAGTGGCTCTGGGTGATCCAGGAGTGGCTGTGGGTGATCCAGGGGTGGCTGTGGGTGATCCAGGGGTGGCTGTGGGTGATCCAGGGGGGGCTGTGGGTGATCCAGGGATGGCTGTGAGTGATCCAGGGATGGCTCTGGGTGATCCAGGAGTGGATGTGAGTGATCCAGGGAGTTCTCCTGCTGCAGTCCCTGATTGGGCTCTGCTGGCACAGCCCTTGAGGATTCTGATTTATTCCTTTATTATTGACAGCAAAAGGCAGCACCAGCTTCTCATCCTGGTAGCACATTCAGTTCTGCTTTGCCATCACTGCCAGTGATGGATCACAGGTGCAGCCACTCAGCAGGACAAGCTCTGAAATCCCTGCTGAGACACCGTGGGTGAAGGAAAAGGGGTGCTGGGTTCTTTAACCACCACAGCAACTCATTTAACTCGTGTGTGATGCAGGATTTGCACAAATTCTGCCATCACACCACTGTTGTCTATCACACACTACATTTCTGTGTTTTCCTCGTTCACAGAGCACATCCAGGCTGGGAGTGCTGCATTCTTCACCTCATTCCTGGAACGAAGGAAGGAGCCCCTGGGGCTGCTCCCGGCCACACCCAGCCCCAAGGCACAGCCAGAGTGAGCAGGACCAAGGTAACCCTGTGCAGAGAGCTCTGGGATGTCCTGCAGGCTGCCCTCAGGGGGATCAGGTGTTCTCTGCCATGGGATTTGCTCCTGCTTTGTTGAACACTGCAGCAAGGAGCTTCTCCAGAAACTCTGCTCCCCCAGTGAAACATCCTGTGCTGGTTCTCCTCAACTTGTTGCTGCTTTGGCTCCTTGTCCTTGTTCCTCAGAACATCCCCAAGTGTCCTGCAGCTCCAGGCTGGTGCCCTGCCTTGCCTGAGGCTCAGTGTGTGTTTTACTGGACACCACATCCATAACTCCAAACAGATCCATGCAGGATGCTGCTGCTCTCTAATTGCTATTTATTTTAGTCATTCCTCATCTCCCCACAGGCATTATGTGAAAAATGCATTCCACATCAACCCAAACTTCTCCATCTGCTGGACTGGACTTAAAAGGAGCGAAGAGCTGAGTGTAAACCAATCTCCCCAGCAAATCCCAGCTGGGGAGCGCTCGCTGTGCCGGGCAGGTGCACGTCCAGATAACATTTCTGGCATCTATTTCAACTTAACAATGTGCACAAGCAGATAATCTCAATGTAAATAATCCACCCTGGGTGCTGTGCAGCCCTGTGCCCTGGGGCTGCTGCTGTGTGCTCTGGGCTCTGGGCTGGGGGAGCTCTGCAGCCCCAGCAATTCATTACTCCCACCCTGGATGGGTTTTAGGTGTTTGCAAACATTTCCCTGGTGCTGCTGCCATGGCTGGGGACAAATCTGTCACCCACAGGAAGCTTCCTCTAAAGCCAAGCCCAGCCCCAGGGTGAAAAGGCCTCAGCCTCTGACCCAGCATTAACACAGGGCTCTGGTAATGTTTGCTTTTAGGTCAACATTTGAGTTTAGTTTTGACATTTAATGCTGTTTTATATAAGCCGACCTTTTTTATAAACCAGCTGCTTTTCTCTTTCCTTCTCCTCAGCCTCACCCCTCCAGCCAAGCGAATCCCCCTGCCTCTCAAATCCTTGCAATTAGGCTGAAAAAGTGCAGAAAAACTATTTATTCTTATTAAAGTCCAGCATAGACACAAACACTTGAATGTCCTTTCTACCACTGCAAAGTCCCACCCTCGAATAAACTGATTTTTACAAGTAAAATTCTGAGCACCAGCATGATAAAGGTGTTCAGGGTGTGGCTGAGCACGCACACACTCAAGTTTGGGAGTTTTCAATTAATAAAAACGATTTTGCACTTTGCCTGTGCAGTGTGACTGGGAAGAAGGTTAGGAAGGGTTTAGGGAATTGTGGCAGCTGTTCTCATTTCCCCTGCTCTGCCAGGCTTTCAGCTGGAGGTGGTTGTGTGTGTGAGGTGCCCCAGCCCTGCCTTTGCAGGCTTTGACCCAGCCAGAGCTTCTAAAACCTCTGGAGTTGAAAATGAAATAATTA